GTAATAATATTACCAAATGTAAATCATTGGCTAATGGGCAAATACCACTCGTAATTTCTTGATAAGCATTAGTTTTATTCATATAGTTTTTAACTTTTTCTTCATATTCTTGAGTATCAATAAAGAAAAATAATTTACTTTTATCAGTTTGTTCAACAGTAATATTAGCTTTGCGTAATTTTCGTTGCATTGATTTTATCATTTTATAAATATATCGAGCATTAGCGTCAAGTTTTTTAGGTACTGGTCTGGTATATAGTTGTTGAAGTAAATTTTTCATTTCTGAAAAAAACTCCTTTGCACGTGTATCATTTGTTAAAAACGTATAATTAGTAAGATTTTTACAATTTTCAGCATAGAGCCGGTTATATTCTTGTTCAATAATTTCTTCCATAGGTTGAGGATAATAGAAATGACTTTGACATGGTGGAATAAATTTTAAACCTTTATTAATAATAAACAATTGTTCATTGGATAATGGTATAATTGTATTGGCAAAAAATAATGAAAGAAGCATACTTGTATTATTAAGAATATTTAATTTTGATTTGCTCCGCCGCCATCGTTGTCCATTGTATCGTCTTGTGACGCCGGAGCTTCGTCGAAAAAAGATTTCATTTTTTGTTGTGTAATATAATTAGCACGTTCTATCATATGTTTTTCACGTGCTTCAATAGCTGCCATTAATTGTTTAAATATGGCAGAATCCGAATTAGTTTTCTTGAATTTATTTGTAACTATTAATAATTTCTTTTTTTCTTTTTTAGCTATCTTATCATAATATCGTACTTTTTCTTCGCCAGCTGCTATACTTCATTCAAGCATATCATATTTAAATCGTCCAATTTTTTTTAAACGACGTGCAGTTAATATTGTTTGTTGCTGGTTATCATTATCATTAGTAGCAGATTGTTTTGATCGACTAAGTATTTTATCAACTTTATCAAGAGTATAATCAAGAAGATTAAAAGCTGGTGGTAAACAATTGGAATGGATACGATGTTTTAATATTTCAATTTGTTCTTTCATTTGTTTTTTATTTTGAATTGCTTTCCATATATTACGGATTGAACGAATCTGTTGTTTATTTGGTTTAAAATCATAAATATTTTTTACAAAAAGGTGATCTGTTGAGTCTAATTTTAACATTTTTTTATTGTATTCAAATTGTTGCTTTAATTTATGTTGACCTTTACGTACAACAACTGTAACCATTGCTGATATTTTTTCAAAGTCTAATGGAGGATTCATTTCAGATAGACATTGAGGTAATGGTTGATTACCAAAATCTTGTAATGCTTGTGATACTTATTGAAGTTGTCGTTCAATGCTTTTTAGACGTTGTATAATTAATGTTTTTGATCGACCATAAGTATAATTCATACTATTCATAGCAGCCCATTTTTTTGATACACGTCCTGACCAAATATTTTCTTGTATACCAATATCATAATAATATTTCCATTGACTTTCCTGTAATTGTACATAGAATAGACGATGAATTAAATAAGCATATTGACGAATATAATTAATTTTATCTTTTGAATTTAATCTTTTAACAATTTCCTTGGCACCTTCTAATGAATTAATTAACATTTTTTTAAATATACGATTTGATACTTTTAAATAATCAGGTATATAAGAATCGCCATTATTATGATTAATTTGTTTTTTAGATTTTGAATGTTTCGTTTCTGATGTTCCATTTGTTATTACTTGTTCAATTTCATTATTTGCCATCTTTTGTTTTTTTGGTGATGGTTGAGAAATAGATAATTGACTTAAAGATTTATCAATTGTATTCGATGATGTTTCATTTCTTTTACGTTTTATTGATTTTTTTACTGTACTATCATGCTGTTTATCTTTATGTTGTATCGATTGTGGAATCTAAATGAATAGATAAATATTAATCTAGTATATTTAATAAGAAAAATCCACATTACTCGATCATTTTGTATTGCTTCATTATGTTGTTGTTGAGGATTGATTCTTTGATTAACTAATTCTGTAATTGTATCTGGATCTATACCTCGTTGACGAAGTCGTCGACGTAGACGTTGTGCTCTTCTATTCCCACGGCATTTTTTCTTCTTTTTCTCTTTATCATGTTCTTGTAGTTGTTGTTGTTGTTGTTGTTGTTGTTGTCCAGTCAAGACTTGTGTTGGTGAAAGTGTTTCATACCAACGACCTTGAGCATCTTGACTTGGAATTTTCAAATTCAATATATTGGTTGAGATCATTTTGTGTGTTTCAGTATTATTATTTTTTTTTTGAGAGCAGTGAAATTTAAGATCTATGAAAAAATCTTTGAAGTCTTTTTACAATTCATTACAAAAAGGTAAATAAATTAAGGTGTATGTGAACAATTTAGAATAAAAATTTATTGTTTATCATCTGTAAAGTTATATGTCATAGGTATACAGTATATTTGTGAGACAATCTCTCTACATTTCTTTGTCCAGATGTTTCAATATGTGGTCGTGCGTATGAAAGGACTGTGAAAATCCAGATTTTATCCCGAAGAACTATGACAGTAGAGGTGAATTCTGTAAATTAAAGGAAAAAAGCATGCATACAGAGTCAAACGTTCAAACCTTAAGCGAGTGAGGAAATTAAAAGCTTCTTTCTCGGAAAAACAGAGAAGCAAAAGAAACTCATCAAACAGCCCAAAACGGATCGATCGCAATCGTAAAGCTTTAAAGGATGTTTACTATACTGTTAATACTATCCCTATAGGACCTCGCGACAAACATCTTTACAAATGCTAACAAAAAATAGAAGAGATATTTTTGAATCTATATAGCTCATAAGCTCCGAAAAAAAATTGATATAGACTGTATCTCATCGATCCTAATATTCTATGTAAAACTCGAATAGATATGAAACGGACGAAAGATTGCTTTGAGAATTTAGAGGAATAGAGTCAGAGAACTTCCTAACAAAAACATCAACAGACCTGATGAAAATCGTCGAGAATGGTTGCAGTTGTATTTGTTCGAAGATTTCACAGTAAAGGATGCGATGTTATCGTTGTTGTGTTAATCGTTGAACTGAACTGATTACAAGAAGAGCAGCTCTATATATATGTCCAAACCGCGACAGATCACAGCGCATCATCACAGATGACGGCATACTGCGACAGAGGACGACAACTTATAACCGTCCGCATTTCACGACAGACCACGACATATTACAACAGAGCACGGTACTTTGTAACCGTCCAAGTATTACGACAGACCACGGCATCTCACGACAGAAGACGGCTGTTACAGTGTTGTCGCACTGATACAACTGCCATCTATTTTCAATTATATTATATTATTTTTTATTTCGTTTTCATTTCTTTCTCGGTGATATATCTAGTCTTCTCTTGTGTTATCCATATATATAGTCTTTGTTCTCTTTCTTTTTTTCTTTCTCTCTCTTTTTTTTTCGCTTTTTCTCGCTCACTATATATGTACGTGTTTTCTATCATTTAAAATAGATAAAATAAAAGATGGTGTGCAAGTGTACGTATACACACACACATATACATATTTTTCCGTTAAAGAAAAGAAAACGAACTTAGCGTTGATCCAAAAGGACAACCGCTAACATTTGGCGATCCTGGACAAAAATGAATATTCACAACGACAACAATTTATTTTTAAATTTTATTTCAATTATAAAATTCATCAAAACAATAAAGAGCCTCTAATTTTAAAAAAGAAAAAAAAAGAGACTCGAGAATCAATTGTATAAGAGCCTTGCATATAGACTCGGGTGAATAAATTTTTTCATCAAATATTAATTCAACCATTAGGTAAAACAACTTCTCTTTAGTTTCATAAAGACTTAACTTAATAAAATAAGGAATACTTTTCAGTAAACCGTTCTTATATTTTCAAACATATAAATTGGAATACATTTCGCAGGGAATTTTTTTGTTTTTTTTACAAATTCAAACACATATATATATATATACATATACAAAAAAATACATATATATATAAAGAAAGCAATGATCAATATAAATAGAAATATTAACATAGAATTTCGTCACTTTGTTTTATACAAATAAACTATAATTAGAAATTCTACAAAAAAAAAAAAAAAAGAATTTCGTTCATTCTTCTTCTAGTACATACACCAATATATTCAGAAATTGTGCAAAAAAGAATTTCGTTCATTTGTCTTCGATTATCTATACACCAGTACAATCAGCAATTCTAAAAAAAAAAAAAGAATTCAATGCAAATATCAATAAAGAGATTCTAAATAAAGAATTTCGAAAATCTATACGCATATTGTTACGTTGATACTCGTAATTTAAATTTTATCAATCACGGCTACCAGTACAAGATTACAGATTAAGAAGAATAAACAGAAACTATTACTATACGATCTTATCACATACTCATCATTACAAAAAAGATCGAAAATTAATTCAATATCTCAAACGAAAATCAATATAATGGCTGATCAAACATTATTAGCAAAAGCTCGCAAAACACGATTTGATGATCTACCGAATTTTTCTGGACATCCTTCTGAGGATGTCGAACGGTTTTTAAAAAGTATTAAGAACATAACCAAAGCAACTGATGAATCAACTAATCATGAAATTCTGGAAATAGTACGTGGCAAATTAACTCAATCAGCAGGAATATGGTTCGATAACAATGAAACTAATTTCCACAAATGGTCAGATTTCGAAACGGCATTTCGAAATCGATACTTTTCTTCAACATCAATACACAGGAAATTTGATACATTAAAGCAACGTAAGCAATTACCAGATGAATCAATTACGTCTTACTGCGATGATATTAATAATTTATGCAAGGAAATTGATTCAAATATGTCGGAAAAAATTATCATTCAACATTTAATGAGTGGAATCAATCCTGATTTTAGGAAAGAATTATCAAGACGTGAATCATCTATTAATACATTAAATGAATTTTTAAAATACGCAAAAATTGAACAAGATTTATATGATACATTTCGTAATTTATCGATTGATTCACAACAATTTGATTTCAATTTCAATCGTCCACCAATTCCATCATTAACTGCCACAGTCAATCCACAAAAACAATATCATTATAAAATAAAATACAACAATCCCACTTCACGTTCAACACAATTTCAGAGCTCCGTTTCTCGACGGAACTCGGATCCAATATGGGGAAATCGAACATCAACAATACCTAATACAAAACAAATTCGGACTTATTCATCACAATCAGTATTAAAACAGAAACCAATCAACACTCAACCAACATCACAACATCAATTCAACAATTGTAAAGTTTGTGGTCGACAAAATCATCGGACAATTGATTGTTATTATAAGCGTACAATTGGATGTTTCAATTGTGGTGAAAATCACAATGTCCGCGATTGTACACTACCTCCAAATTTTCAATAACTGGGTCACATGATGGCGGTGTTCCCAGTAAATTTATAAAGCCATCAACAATAACATCATTTCCCGTTTACATCAAGATTCGTATCAATAATCAACCAACGGAAGCAATTGTTGATACAGGATCCGCCATCTCCATTATTCATTCAAATTTTCTCAAAACTATTCATCACCAAAATTTTTTATACCAAACTCATTCATGTCAAACTGCAAATTCAACACCCCTTAATATTATTGGTCAAATACAATTAGAAATACAAATTAAATCTATCAAAACTTATGTTACTGCTCATGTTGCTACAAATTTAATTACATCAATTCTTTTAGGCAATGATTGGATAAATTCGAATCATGTTCACCTTTATGGTGACCAGAAAAAATTAACTATTCCTGATCAACATGATCAATTCATTTCAATTTCATATGTGGAACCAACATGCATTAATTATTCAGCATTATTAATTCAACAAATTACTCTTCCACCATATTCACAACAATTAGTTGATATAACATGTCAAATTAACAATGCAAATAATCTTATATTTGAACCTTATGAACGTCATATATCAAAATTGATTTTCATGCCACATACATTATTAGATATCAATAAAAATCAAGCCAAGGTATTACTAATAAATGCACAAAATCGACAACAAACATTATCAAAAAATACACGAATCGGAACCATCTCCCGTGATGCAACATATACAATATATGCAACTACACAAATTCCAACAAAAAATAATTCTATTTTAAACGAACGTCATCAAACATCAACTCGACATTACAATAAATTAAAATCCAGAGCTGTCTTACGTAAAAGGGACAACTCGAATCAAGAAAAATTAAACATTATTTGTCATCATTGCAACGAACATTTTTTATCTGGAAATGATTTACAAAAACATCTACGAGCAGAATGTTATTCCGAACAGATTCGAAAACAAATATTCGAATCGACTAAACATATAGAAAATCCAAAACATCGATTAGAAATTCAAGATATTTTATGGCGAAATAAAATATTATTTGATCCTACACCATCAATTATTAATATTCCTCCACAATCAGCAATTAAAACTGCTGATCATCCACCTATCTATTCAAAACAATATCCAGCATCATCTAAAGATCAAGAAATTAAATTTCAAGAAACACAAAAATTATTAGAACGTGGTCAAATTGAAGAATCAACTTCACCATGGTCATCACCAATCGTTCTTGTTAAGAAAAAAGACAAAACTATGCGATTCTGTATCGATTACCGCCGATTAAATGCTATTACAATTAAAGATGCATTTCCACTTCCTCGAATCGATGAAATTTTTGATCAATTATCTGATGCAACATATTATACAAAATTCGATTACAAATCTGGCTATTTCCAGGTTCCTCTATCTAAAGAGGACCGACCGAAAACGGCTTTCTCCACGCGAGACAATCATTATCAATTTACAGTTCTTCCACAAGGAATAACAAATGGTCCCGCAACATTTCAACGTGTTATTAATCATATATTAGGTCCTACACGATGGAAATATGCATTAGCTTATATTGATGGTGTAATTATATATTCAAAAACATTCGAAGAACATTTATCACATGTCAATGAAATTTGTACAATATTAAAAAATGCTCGATTTCGTCTTAATCCAGAAAAATGCGAAATAGCTCGAACTCAAACAGATTATCTTGGACATAATATTAAAAATGGTGAAATTCGTCCAAGTCCTCATAACATTAATGGTTTACTAAATACAAGATTATCACAAACGGCAGATGAAGCTTGTAAATTTGTCAAAGCCGCTGAATATTATAGAAAATTCATCCCAAATTTTTCACAAATCGCCGAACCACTTAGAAAATTCGTACCAACTACTCGAACTCAACGAAAGAAAGGACAAAAAACTATTATTACGTTAACACATGAAGAAATTAAAGCCTTCGAACAACTTAAAAATTTTCTTACAACTGATCTGGTATTACGACTTCCAAATAACAGATTCCCTTTTAAAGTACAAACGGATGCATCTGATGAGGGAATCGGTGCAGTACTATTACAAATTTATCCAGAAGGTGATAGACCTATTGCATATTTATCAAAGAAATTTACACAAGCACAACGTAAATGGTCTCCTATGGAACAAGAATGTTATGCATTTATATGTGCATTAGATAAATGGCACAATTATTTAAGTGGAATTACATTTATTTGGGAAACTGATCACAAAGCATTAACACAATTAAATAAAAAAGCACAAGTTAATAAACGATGTGAAAGATGGAGATTAAAAATCTTAGAATATGATTTTAAGGTGAAATACATTCCTGGTTCAATTAATTTAATGCCTGATTATTTATCAAGATCTCCAGTTGAAGATGCTGAAGAAGATCCTGATGAAACTACGCATCTTATTTCAAAATCAACGCAAACCGATATTTCAAATGTTAATAATCATTCATCTATTGTCGCAGCTGTTGAAACTCGTGCTATGAAATTACGAAACAAAACTTTAAATGACATTTCAAATACAAAATTACCATCAGATTCTCTGAATACTTCTATTGAAGAGAATCGCACAACTCCATTTTCTATCGAAGAATTAATTCAAGCTCAACAAAATGATGATTACTCAAAAAATATTCTAAACAACATCAAGAAATATAAAAATTATATGACTAAAGATAATCTATTAATGCGTCGACTGAATCCTCCAGTTCCTTGCGTACCACAAGGTGATTTCCGAAAAACAATTTTACAAATTTATCATGATACTGTAGCAAATGGTGCTCATTTCGGAAGAGATAAAACAATACATAAAATCAAACAACGTTATTTTTGGCCATCAATGTACAAAGATATTAATAATTATATTAAATCATGTATTCCATGTGCACAATTCAACCCTCGTCGACAAAAAATCCTGGTACCTTACGACCTATCAAACCTCCAGAAGGAGTATGGCAATTAGTATCAATGGATTTCTATGGACCTATTACTCCAACATCTCAACGTGGAAACAAATATATTATATGTCTCACCGATGTTCTATCAAAATTCGTAATTACCAAAGCTGTACGTGATAATACAGCTCAAACAGCTATTAGATTTCTTAAAGAAGACATTATTTCAAAATTTGGAACTCCTCGTTGTATTCTTACTGACAATGGAACACATTTTACTTCAACATTGATGAATGAATTAATTAAACAAATCGGATCAACACATTTATATTCAACACCATATCATCCTCAAACAAACGGTCAAGTTGAAAGATATAATTCAACTATGGATGCAAAAATTGCATCTTTATCAAATTTACGTAAAACCGATTGGGATGATCAATTACCATTTGTTACATTTAATTACAATACTTCAATTCATTCCTCAACAAAACAAATACCATTCGAAATGATGTATGGTCGATCACCTGTTCTACCATTCGATCATCAAGATACAAATGTTACTTTATCATATGATTCTGAACATGTAAAAAAGCTTCAACAATTTTTATCAAAATTAAATGAACAAGCTAAACTCAATATCATAAAAAATCAACAACGATACGATATAAATCGTTCGAATCCCTCATATAATATTGGTGATTTAGTTCTTGTGAAAACACTCAACATCCGTTATAAATTTGATATTCGTTATGAAGGACCATTTAGGATCATTCAAACAATTACACCCAAAACATTTATCGTTCAACACGTCAAAAAATCAACATTATATCGTCAAGTTACAACCGACGTGTTATTACCAATATTTGAACGAATTTATTAATTACAGGACCTCTACCAAAGAGCTCCGTAATATCAATATGTCAAATTAAATGGAATAATTATTTATTAATCAACTAATCTAATTGGATTTAATTTAGCATAGCATAGTCGGGGAGTGTGACTTTCCCCCACTCACTGATTGTGAAGGGCTATTACATTTAATTTGGTACCTGTTTA